TATATTATACATTTTTTCAATTTTTTCTCTTTTCTTTTTTTGTTATTTCGCGTTGTAATTTTTCTTCATGTTTAAAATGCATGATCTTTAATTGTAAAAGGCGATCATTTGCATCGCAGCGCATTTCGCGACTGTCGTAGGCGCCGTGCTATCAACCGCTATTCAATTTGTTTTTTTTTTATAGCAGGATGGTGCTTCAGGTGATGATGAAAAAAAAAAGAAAAGAATCGTCGCGATTTACGGCACAACTGGACGCGTGTGCGTGAGTGCACGCACGACGGAACTTATATCCGGCTTCGTGACGTGACGTCATTTCAGCTGATCCTCACACTCGATGTTGCACTTCTTTCACTTCTTCTCTTTGACATTAAAATATCTCAGTCTCTAACAATGAATAACAAACATTTTCTCGTTACAATTTAAAAAAAGAGAGATGACACGAAAAAAAAAAACGGTTTTGCTGAAGTATTTAAAATTTGATCAGACACATCTGAAAATAATTTTGTTGATATGTTGATAATTTTGTCATCAAAATTATTATGTAAAACATTGAAAATATTGCAAAAACTTTTGATATTGTAAAAAAAAATGTAAAAATAAGGAAATGGGTTAAGGAAATTGCCCCTCCCTAGAATGCAAAAAGTTATGCGAAAGTGGACGAATCAGATTCAACGGAGCGATAGCGCAGGTGGAATACGGTTGATTTACGATGAGCTTCAAGCCTCGTGAAAGTGTTGTTATTAAACGTATCGCTACGAGTAGTGTCCGAATTGGCTTTCACGACTACTCTTTCGCGCAAGATCTTTTATTTATAGCTATGTATTAATGAGGAAAAAATAGGCAGCAATGCTCTCTCGAGAAATTGGTCAGCGTAACACTTACGCGCGAAAACACTCTGCGATTTACTTTTACATTTTATTATGCAAGATTCATATTTAATATACACACACACACACACGCGCGCGCGCGCGCGCGCACGCACGCACGCACGCACGCACGCACGTATATATGCATGAAAAAAATAATCTTTAGAAATATTTAAAAATTTGTCCAAATACAGATTTGAAAATAATTTTGAACCATCAAAAAAATTACGTAGAACGTTCTAATTAATTGCTAGAATAGAAATTTGTGTAATAGAAATTTGTATAATATTATCATGCTTATAATTTTGATAGCCCAATAAAATTATTTTCAGATTTATATCTGGTTAGGTTTTTTAAATTTTAGTAAAATTCTCTCCATGTACATTTATTAAATTAATAGCGATACAATCTTGTAATACATTCCTATCAGATACTGAAATCCTAATTAAAATAAAATTCTCATTTGTAAACGTAAATCGGAAAGAAAAATACCTTTACAAAGATTTTATGATTATCTATAAAGATCTTTACGACTAATAAAAATAGAAGAATATATAAAATGCTTAGTAAAATAACTTCTCTAATTTCGAATTGTATTTGATTAATTTATCTTTGCAATAAAATCAGATTTAGACCACGTCTAAATTCCATGAATTATTCCGGAGGTATTCGCGCCTCTCTCTGACTCGACGTTATTTCTCGATGTAAGTCAAGTTATTGTACCGCTATTTAATCGTAGCTATTCAATGCGTACCGAAATGGAGCTCGGAATGGCTCGAGATACCGTAATGTCGATTAAGTAGTTGCAGCACGCAACGCGCCCGGGTCGATCCCCGGATTAAATCCCCAAAAGGCCCGCCATCGTCGTCGATGTCGCGTCGCCTCGCGGACACGAATTCCGATCACCTGGCTCAAACCTATGGAATTTCGCGCATCAAGGTGACAATCGGTCGATGTCTCATCGGGAAGACGCATGACGGGAAACCGACGAAAAAAAGCAAGAGGAACGAAAGGAAGAAACCACCGAGACGAACACTCGACTCCGCGACTCGTGGCGAGAGATAAAATGGCGAGAGTCGCCGAAGAGAAGAGATTTCGCGGGGATTTCCGCGCGTACTGATCACACATTTCGGATGTTATAGAGAAGCTGAAGAACTGCTATTAATAATTTTAATTTTAGGAATTAGATTCTAATTAACTGGACTAGATGAATTAAAAAATATAAAAATTCTGACATCTTTCTGAAATGCTTAACATTAATATCATTAACATCTATTTATTTTAACACTACTATCTATTAACTTTAATTTCGGTGCAATTCACTCTTTACCTTTTTCTAATTTTTAGAACTAAAAAAAAGTAAGTTAAATCGAGATGAAAGTTAATCTGTAGAAATGGACATGAGATGTTTCTGGTGCACATGCGTTTTAATCATCGGACAGGTAATTGTTCTCTGCGAGAGAGTGATCGACGTCTAAACTACGACGTTCTTTGCGGCAATATCGAAGATAAGAAGAAATAATTGACGTAATGATGCAACATTTATGTAACGAAACTGAACGATCGTCGTGGCGGTGGCGGCGGCGAAATCCTCTTTGTTTACGAAAGAGCGTATTCTCCCTTACTCAGGGGAAAAAGATATCCCAGATATTTCAAGGAGAGAGTTAGGCTAGTGGCACATAAAAAAAACAGTAAAACTTAGGCAGTAAGCAACAAATTGATCAATCACGGCTACAAAGTTTTAAAATGATAACCTTATGAGTTTTCCATAATTCTCGACTTGGCCAATTCGCTCACTGAGAAAGTCTTACTGCTTTACTACATATCGCTGGCTTTAGAGAACCCACGAAATCTGACTCACTAGTGACACTCTTCTATTCCCCTTCGACGACGATTTCGCAATGTTCTCCACGTAGTAGATGCCTCATGGCGCTCGTCCATTATCTCACCGCGGGGCACATCAGGATTGCATCCGAGCTCGCCATCTGTTTCGCGCGTACGTCTTCCTACGAGGGGGCGAGATTATACGGGACGATTTTGTAACGAGCCCGAAATCGCACGGCGTGTCGATAACGTGGAAAAAGGGATCCGGCCTGATTAGGCCTTGTCGGGTCGGGTCGCGAGTCGCGGTTCTACGCGAAAGCCTCTGCGCGAGGTGCCTCTGTGCGAGGTGAAGAAAACGTCGCACGGCCGTCTCTGTCTCCGAACATACTGCGTACGAAGGAATGAAGGAACGGACGAACAAACGAATGAACGAACGAACGAACGAACGCCCGGCCGCCACCAGAATTTCCCTGAAACTGCTTTCACTTCTCCGAAGAATGCGAAGGCTGTTGTACCACGACCAGCGTCTAGCACGGCCTGGCCGGAGTACAACGCGCACACCGAGGGACCCCCACCTTCCTCGAGAGATCGGCGGTGCAGCTCGCTGTCGTTCACCATAGTATGTTTGTGTATGTATATGCACGTGTATGTGTGCTGTTGCAGATACGCGCACATTAACACGGAGGCACACATACGTGGCATACACGACCGTTTCGCACGCTCTTTCTCTCCTTTTTGCCTCTCTCCACCTCTTTTCTTGACGAGTATTTTACCGTGTCTCTCCCGTTTTCTTCGCGATTTTCTTCACTCTTCAGCTTTCGTCGTCACGTGCCCCTCTGTCTTTGTTGCGGACGTTCGCGAGTATATCTTCACCCGGATGATTTCATACCTCTCTCTATGTTTCTCCTCGGTTCGCTTCGTTTTTCAACTGCCCGTCTCCGTATATCTCTTCATCTCCACCGCAGATTTACGGATATGTCTTCCTTCTTTATTAATTCCGTTATCTCTTTTCTTCTTCCCTTCTTTCCTCCTCGGTGCCATCTTCGTGTATCTCTTTGTCGGAATCTCTCGTACTTTTCTTTTCTTCCCCCCCTTCGTCGACTTTGCCGTATATTTCTGTCCATGTCTTTCTCGTTTCTTTAACTTCGAGAGCGGACAATTTGTCCCCGCTATTCAATACTCGATTGATGGTACCCCCGATCGGTTCCAGTTCTCTTAATTGTCTGTAGCTTTGCTATTATTATAACGCTGTCTCTTCGCATCTCCTCTTCATCCCAATCGTCTCGATCGCCGATTCATCATAATCGCCTGTCATTTTCTCCGATTATTTCTGTCTACACACATTTCTTCTTCTTCTTCTTCTTCTTCTTCTTCTTCTTCTTCTTCCCACTCCTCACGTCTCTCTCCTTCTCTCTTTCATTCTCCGCCATTCTATCACGCACCCACCTACTCCTCCTCACTGGCGCACATTCGCTCATTCTCTTTCTCACTCGCGCACCCTCTTCTCTCTCCCTCACTCTCGCTCTCTCTTTCTCTCTCCCACCTTCTTTCGCCAAGTCTCAGTCAACTCGCCAAGTGACTTCGATGAGTGCAACAGCGAGATTTCGAGGCAGTGGAAGGAAACTGGTTATACTCGGCAGCGGCCCAGGCATTTTAACGCGCACACCCCTTCGCGGGGGACAACCCCGGCGGGTTTCCACCGCGAAACACTCCTACGCAGTTGAGGCGCAACGAAAGCGCGGGGCTGCAATTAAACAAGAGCGAGGAATTAAGCGAGGGGAGGAAGGGAGAGGGAAGAAAAAGGGAGAAGAAGAGAGAAAGAGAGAAGAGCGGTAAATTGCAATTACCACGACCCGCGCCGCGATGCAAACGCGAACGCGCGACGATTATCCCTCTTTACGATTATCGCGCGCCGTAAATCTGCAGAACTTACGGCGCAACATCGATAGGACGCCGATATATCGTTGTTTTAATTTACGTAGAGCGATAAACTCTACGAAATTGCCCGCTAAGAGGAGGATCGGGGTCTCTCTTTCTCTCGCTGCCGTGTAGCGACGATCGACCGTCCGTGACTCTACTTTCTTGCGAGGATCCCTCGGGGAAAACCCACGAACCACTCCTTAATACTTATGCCTATTAACAGTCGAACGACGATATGGACAATCCGTGATATTCGGTGGACAGATTTTCAAAATTCTTTGATATATTTTCGACGAAATCTGCGAGATGTAATCGACCTTTCATAAAAGGTTCTAAGCTTTTCTCTGATTTTTTTTTTAATAAAAATACGTTTGTATTCTATATGAATGTTTTTAAAAAGAAAAATTAAGGAAACTATTCTTAGGAGAATCCGGATTAAATAAAAATTATGGTGTTTCGACGATGGAAGTGCACTCGCATGTGCGAGGTGGAACTTCCGAGGCGAGGCTGAGAGAAAACGCGTCATTAGTCAGATCCCGGAAATTCGTTCCGACTTCTGTATCGAAGTCGCCGCTAAATCAATCATCGAACACGCGTCGATGTCGAATCGAGCCCGACGGCCCGATGGAAACGAGCGGCCGCCCGTCGAACGCGTTCGCTGCGTTCTTTCCTTGGCCTATATAGTCAGCCGGAGCCGAACGAGAAAAGAAATTGTGGACATGGTCCGCCGTGTCTGCGGACGGGATAAACGTCCAGCGCGGCCGTCGCGGAATCCGTCGAGCGTGAAACGCGTTCCACTGCCTGTTTAGAGTAGACGCGCTCCTCGGCGTTCGGCCGCCGCGCCGTTCGATAGAAAGCGAGGAATCTGCTCGCCGTGGAAACGAGCGAGCGAGTGAACGAGCGAGCGAGTGCAGCTTGCGAGCCGCTTGCGGCTTTCACGATTATGTCCTGCCGCTTGCGCGAAAGTCAATCTCGCAATCATCGACTCGCGCGGCGCAACCGCGAGCCACGTCTCGCGGTCGATCGGCGTATAACGCACACGAGATTAATTTCCGACGGGAAAGGAGATTTTACGATTCCCGACTGCGACTCGATTTCCGCGCGATGCGCCTGAGAGCGGGAGAGATATATCTCACGCCGATTCTCTCGCTCAATAATTATCGGCGTCCAAATGCGTGAACTCAGCGAAATATACCGGTTTCGTTCCTCTCCGGCCGATACCCGTTTTCGCGGGCGCCCCGGGATTCCCCGTGGACCGGATCCTTCGCGACGGACTCGCCCCACGAAAATGATAAAAGGCATTCCTCCGATGTAACCAATTCTATTCTCCGGCGAGAAAGTCGCGAGATAGAGATTGGGAGAATTTAATTGCGCGTCATTTATATAGTTGACTTTAATTAACGTCCGCGGACACGCATCGTATAAGCTGAACAAGTACCACATTTCGTCATCTTTCGTACAAAAAAAAAAAGAAGAAGATAAAGATAGATTTCCAACATCTATTGTTACTTGACGGAGACCGGAGCGTTTGATTGCACACAGCCTGGAATAGCGAATTCGCCTCCGGCTCTCCCTCGGGGATTGCCCCGGGGTTCCCCCTCGAGCGTTGCCGAAGCGATTGCCAAAGAAGAAAAGGGGAGCGAGAGACGCGCGAGGGGGAGGAACATTATGAAATCGCGCATCGGTCGGTCGCGGGCCGCGAAACACCAATCACTCTCGCGCGCGATACGAGCGGTCAGAATAAATTCCGATTCGCGAAAACCTCGCTTTCCCGAGCTCGGCGCACCGGTTGCGCTCCCCCGCAACCGCGGTTCCGCGGGTCCCCCGAAATACATCCTGAATACATTCTCCGTACATACGCGTGCAAAAGAAAAAGGAAGACCCGTTTGAGCGAGATCATCCTCGGAGGATTCCGCGTAATCGCGAAGAGGCTTCATGAACTCGTTCATCGTTTCATAATTGACTTCGCGAATTGTATCGTCGTTCGGGCGACGCGGCGTACAAGCAGAACTCACTTTCACATCGCTCGCTCGCTCGCTCGTTCTCCTTCCTCGCGCCTTTCAGCGGGAATGTATTCGCACGTAAGCAAATGTCGCGAGTGAACGAGCGAGCGAGCGCGGTCACCGAGTTCGACAATGATGACGATACCGATGACGATGATATTGATGATGACAATGATGACTTTTTTCGTATTTCGCCGCCGAAGCGGCGCTTTTATGCCATTTAACACGCGTATTTCACCCTTCTACATATACAAATTTTCACATATTATGTATTTTAAATCTTGGAGAACCGCCGTTCCACCCCCGCACCGCGGCGATCTCGCAACCAAAGGGGGATCTCGCCGCGCGGAGATCTACCTTCTCGCCGTACTCGTTCTCCATATGTTGCTCGCGCGGGGGTCGCCCCGGGTCGCGCGCGATCCCGTGGGTTCCTCTACGTACCTCTTCGAATGACAGCGCCTGGCGAGTCGCCCCGCGACCGCCTCCACCGCCTCCGCCGCCTCCAATATGAGGTTCACAGGCTCGTTCGAGATTGGCACTCGCGCTCTCTCCTGTCCATAATCGGCGAAAGTCGCGCTGACTCGCGGCGCGACGGCCCGCGTCTCTTATTCGCGATCCGATCCGATTCGGAATTCGAGACGCGACGCACACGACTGACAAATCCACGGATATGACGGTTCCTCGACTCCGAGCCCCAGATTTCTTTCTCGCGACCACTCGCGTACACGCGGGAAGACGGGGTGAGAGAGAAAGGGGAGAACACGCGGGATGCCCCGTTAAATAAAGCGCGCGCCTCTCTTTGGCCGTGCCCGCGTGCCCGAAAGCCTCCTTCGACCGCGGCGTACCGCCGTTCACTGCTCCATTGCGGAGGAGGCCTTGCGCCTCGGCACCGTCGCGAGTGAGAGTCACCCAGGACGTTCACCATGTTGGTGAACCGTCGTCCGCGCATGCGCGCGCGCCACCCCCTTTTGCCTGCTGTCTACCTTCACCGCCGGTGACGTCAAAAATAGGACAAGGAGCTGGTGGCCTTTGCTACAAGGCGCGGCGCGAAGGGGGTGGGAGGAGAAAGAGGAGGAGGAGGGCCACTGAACTGTCCCTCGATGTCTTCTGTCTCGACCTCGCCTCTCTATCTCTGTCTCCGTCCCCCTTCTCTCTCCCGCCGCCGCTGCCGTCTCCGTCACCAACAGCGGTCTCCGGCAGGGCCGAGGCGGCGATTTTCAATGATGAGGGAGGAAAAGGATACGCGTGGATTCGGTAAGGATCCTAGAAAAAGCGATCGGGATGAAGAAACAATTATATATAATTCGTTAACTCAATTTATCTCGAGAAGAAAGATCTTTTTGTGGAAGTGGTAACGAGGCGAAATCTATCAATTCATTTCGCACTTGTGATGTCCTGTGAAAGCAACCCAACGAGGGTCTTAATGGCGACACTGTCCCTCACAAGTTCGCTATCCGTTTGTTCTACTCCCCCGTCTTTCCCTTTGTTTCGCTCTTTTGCGAGACCTCACCGGTCTCTCCTTATTTCGCCGTTCTATCACCTCGTGTCACGTACGTGAACGTCTGCATGTACACGTACGCATCGTCCGTCCGCATTACAAATTTTTGATACCGCGTGCGATACGCGAGTATCCGCGGCGGCGACAGACAGACTTCGGTTCCAGATTCCAACGTGCGCGAGACGATCGAAAGGGTCGCGAGGAGCATCAATGCGAACCTGAGAAATAACTCTCGCTCTCTTTGTCAAACGGCTCCTGTCCAGCTTCTCTGGAATGCGAAAGATCACGTATATTCCGGTACCACGCGTCCGTTTCATCGGAATTAAAAAAGCGCGCCTACTTCTGCCACTTCGCCAAGTGGAATATCCGGTGGCGTCGAATGAATATTAATTTGAAATTCGGCATTCTTGACGCGCGTGGACTTCAAACAACAGGTGGATCAGAGCAGATTGAGAAAAGAAAAATTTGAAACTGATCTATTATGCATGCAGAAGTGGAAGAAAGTATAAATTAATTCGACATATGTAAAGTTAATTCCTGATTTCGTGGAATTTTCAGCGAAATTTCTACTGATTATTTCTTAATTCGCATATATTTTAAAAGGCATTAATCATTCTGGTGAAACGCGTACTACATTTTAAATTACGATGATAAAATTAGTAGCGCGTTATCTTTTTTAATGAAAATTCCATTAATATTGAAAGAAAAATTTTGAGAACGAATTGTCTCATACATTCTCTTGGCAAAAATTTGACATATACATATGAAGAAATATAAAATTTTAATGAATAATTTAAAGAAATGTTCTCAAATATTTTTTTAAATTTCAATAATTCTTAATTAAGTAATTTTTTTCAACAAATTTTATATGAAGGCAATTGGCCTTATATTTTAGAAGTTTTGTTTATTTCTTATAAATATAATCATTCTTCATTATTAATTCTTAATATTATAAAAAAGCAAATTGGTGTCTTTAAAGTTTATTATTTAAAGCATAATATGTAAATACAGTAAATAAACTCAAGCCACGAGAGCGCTAGCCGTTGAGCTCTCGTACTTCCAATTTGGCGGGAGAGATCCCTTAGCTTTGTAGTATCGTGCCAACCTGTGAATTCTCGATTCGACAAGAATCAGACGGAATTTACTGTCTTTATCTTTACGATTTCTTTCCAAATGTTTGCGCACAGCAACAGCTTTCTTGATCAGATAGTACAAATCTTCTGGTAAATCAGGAGCCAAGCCCATGCTTTTTACGATGCGCAGAATCTTATTTCCTGTACGGAATCGCACTTGCGCTACTCCATGTGAGTCACGAAGAATAACACCTGTAAGAACAATATAAATTGTCTTTAATTATATAAAGCTGCTTTTTTTATTATTTTATTATTTTATTTTAATAATCTATAATAAACTTGATATTTTATAAATGTCAATGGTGACCTATTATGAAATGACAAATCATCATATTCACATCAAACACCATTGTTCAATTATAATCTTGCAAACATATTTTGTTAGAGATCAAATTAAGGATTCTAAGATCTCTGGAATAGTTTGCTTTTGTTTTAATTTTTCTGTATTATGTACTTGAATAAAACTTATATCTTTCATCAGTAACAATATATATTATATAGAATAATATATAAATATATTATTAAGATTACCAATTTGAGACGGTGTATGTCCTTTTTTTGCTAGCTTGTAAATGAGTTCTTTACAATCTTCTGGTGTCAACTTCAACCAAGTTGGCACACTTCGTCGATAAGGAAGCGCAGACTGGGATATACCCTTTCTAAAAAAATAATATTTTGTTAAATGTATTGTTTTCGTTAAAAATTAAATATGCACATATTATTAAATTAAACAAAACAAGTTATTTAATATATTTGCATTCCTAGAGAAATTACTTGAAAAGTTACTTTCATAAACTATGATATACAAAAATGATAATAAAACAGGACTAAGTTCTTATCAAATTTTTAAAATTAAAAATTATATATATAATAAAATTAAAAATTAATAAAGCAGTTAATATTTCATGTCAATTCAACTTGATTACGTATTATTAAAAAGTGTAATTTGGACATTACACATCTATAAAATCTCATTATAATATGGCATTCTGCCATTACAGTTGTACCACACGTATGTTAGGTTATGTACTTCACAAACCGTACATCAATCAACTTAAATGCCAAGATACGAAGAAGCTAAATAGAGGGGAAGCTAATTAGAGGGTTTGACAATTATATGTGACAAACTCGACAGATATAAAGATAATAATTTATTTTTAAACGAAAGAACAGAATGGAGTCGCGAACACATGGTTGTCGTGCGAGCATAAACGACCATGTTGAAACATTTTAACAAGAATAAGAATCATCGTGTTGCAAAAATTCCGAGTATTGCAGCAAATGAGAAATTACATTGATGATGCGATAAATATATTACATTACCCATGCGAGTGCATACGACCCATCCTGATGAATTTTCTTCAATAGGAACAACGTCCGTGAAAGAAGAAAATGAAAAGAAATGGCAGGAGACGGAAGCGCTCCCCTTAGCCAACGGAGAAATTGGGCTTCATAAAGGTTGATTCATAAGTCGATTTACATAGCTGCGTTTACAATGTTTCTTGCAAGTTTTCTGTGTTGAGATTGTGGATCAATCCTTTAAATTTAAAAGTCTAATTTAATCTCAGTACTAAAAACAGTTCAACAGTAAAATATACGTTTTGCTAAACATTTATTTGCCATAATTTTGTAAAATACCAAAATCAATTTTCTTTCTTTTCTTATTTGGATTAAATCTGATTGATTAACAAAATAATATTAATATTATCATGTTTTTTATCAACTAGATTTTAAACATCGTTTTAATTGATCTTTATCTCTTTTCAATTTTAAGAATTAGAAAACTTCAACTAACATTAAAGTTAATTTACGATAAAAATAAAAATATTATTAAGTTAATTCACCAATTAATTGCATTTTTTCTAAGAAACACATTCAGATTCACATAATATTCTATAATTGGCCATTGACTAAGAAAACTAGCATTTCAGAAAATGCACTAAACAAATAAATTATCCAACAATAATTATTATTTGATTGAAAATACTTGAGGAAGACAATTTATAACGCCGATATGTTTACATTTTCATTTATTGCGAACTGCAGCACATCAAATTGAGAAAAATCATCGCGAAAAAATTTTCTACATACACAATTTTTCATAATTTTTCTGCGCGACAGATCTCGCACTCGTGTTTAAATCTCTCACTTCCGGTCGGTCGATTACTACGTATGACGTTTCTCTTCTTTATTTGCAGTCGCGGTCGCATTGTCTCATTGTCGACTGCTGATCGTCGTGTTCTGGTATAGCTGCAAGATCAGAATTTCATGAGGTGAGGTATCGCGCCCGCGATGCCGTAGTCGCGCCGTCGTCCGTCGACGGTCGCGCGCGAGGCCGGAAGTGACGTCAGGACATCCGTTCATACACATACTACAGCGTCCGCGATCCAAGATGTCCGCAGTCTTACGATAGAACGCGTACCTTTACGGCGTGTTGTCGAGGTAGAAATTGAGGGGTACAATTTCGGGCGCGAACGGTTCCGGATTGTCCCGCACGTCACGCACGACCCGGAAGATCGCTGCGGCACGTCCGCGATTCCGCGGCGCGTGACGCGATCACGCGAGAGGATCGGGAGCGACTCGGAAAGTGAGAAGGAGAACGAGAGGAAGAGAAGGAGAGTGTGCGCGTGAGCGAGAGCGAGAAAGACGGAGCGAGACGGGAAATCGAGAAGCGTCAACTCTGGAGCTTCGCGCATCGACACGGTCGTTTACGGTTCGTTGAGCTCCATCCGCGGGTCATCCGCCTCCACGGCGCCGGCTATCCTCGGAACAATCGCGTCGCAGCCTCGACCACCTTCGTGGCCGCGGACCGTTGCCGTTGACGAGGACGACGACGACGCCGTCCGCCGTCTCGCAGCCGCAGCCGCAATCGCACCGCGAGCGTGCCGCTGTTATCCACTTGCAGCTCGACGACGAGGAATCGAGGCAACGACGCTCCCTCGATGTCGGTCGCCAAAGCGGACGACGATTTCGCCACGATATACGTCTGAGATCCCGCGACGGCTGCGAGCGCGCCACGCAAAACAGCAGCAGCAGCAGCAAGTAATCCATTTTTTTGAGTTTAGGGCACTCGAACTAACGTAGGATTCATTTTTTGAAGTAAATGGTGATCTAGCGCGTTTAGATAGAATCGCGGTGCGATTTGAGGCATCGAGTAAAGAGTGATAATTGAGATAAAGATAGAATGATTTGTTGTTGCTATACAATAAAAACAAGTGGCATATGGCAAACGCACAGATTTTATATTATTTAAGGAAAGCGTAGATGTAGATTGTGGTTTTTAATCTCCATTTTTTTGTTTGCAGATTTATGAGAGGAATTCAGTGGGTATGAATTTTAGCAATAGTCAAGATGTCAAGCGACAGCGATTATACTTGTATGATACGTCATCATACTCACAAGCGCAAGAAAATTGTCATAAGCGACAGCGACAGTAGTGACGAATCTCTAGTTATACAAACACGAAGGAAGAAAAAAATACTTGTATGTATTGAAACTTTTCCTTATTGTAATATTTTTAGATAAATTCTAACTTAATATTTAAAAGTTATGAATAAATTTTATGCATAATAAAATTATGAATAATAATGAGATAAATATACTAAAGTAAATATACTAAAATTATTGTAATATACATTCTCTCTCTTTCTCTCTTGCACACGTGGTGTATGAGAAAGTGTATGCGGCATGCCTGTGTGTGTGTGTGTGTGTGTGTGTGTGTGTGCGTGTGTCGTGTGTGTGTATACAATAATTTAATATATTTACTCTACTATTATTATTATTAATGTCGTCGCGCGCGCGCGCGCGCGCGTGTGTGTGTGTGTGTGTGTGTGTGTGTGTGTGTGTGTGTGTGTGTGGTGTGCGCGCGCGCGTGTGTATATGTGTGCATATATATGGTATATAAAATATGTGCATTAATTAATAACTTGCACAATTTTATTTACACAATTTCATATTTTATTAAGGGAGTTGTTTATTGAAGTTAATAAATAAGTTTTAAAATCGTAATTGCACTTATTTATTTCAGAGAGTTGTTAGCGAAGGAGAAAGTAGCAGCGATGATAGTGATTTACCTAAGCCTGTGATTAGACGACAAAACCATGTAAGTGTTTCAACTATGATATATATTTATAGAATTATTTAATTTATTATATAATATGATTATGTATTTTCATTAATATTATTTTATTACAGAGAGTTATTAGTGAGGATGAATCTAATTACAATAGTAGCCCAGGAGGAAGCAGATGTATTGAAGATGGTAAGTATGGTAATTTATTATAATTATGGTAAGATAGTAATTTATTATTAATAGCTATTATTTAGTGTTAACATTATATATATAATAAAATATCCAATGTGTATGCTACAGATAGCAGTACTACATCTGAATGGGAAAGCGACTGGTCTAGTTCCAATGAATCAGAAGAAGATACTAAGAAATATAAAACTAAACGTAAAGTCTTATCTAAAACAAAGAGTATTGATAAGCCTGGTTCTTCTTCATCAACCAATGCCAATATCAACTCTGAAAGTAGTGACGATCAATCATCAGAAAAATGTCCTATATGTTTGCTGCCATTTAGGAAACAGCAAGTCGGTACTCCTTCTGTATGCGATCACTGCTTCTGTTTGGAATGTTTATTGGAATGGAGTAAGAATATTAATACTTGTCCTGTGGATCGCTCACCCTTTACTTCTATCATTGTTAGAGAACATTTTGACGGCAAGGTAATAATAATTAGACTTTATATTAACAACTTATATATACACTTTTTATTTAATATTTCATCTTGCATAAATAGTACAAATTTTTCGAGGTATTGATATGATATAATGAACTGTCACGATTTATGCAATTTTAATATACATCTTTTTTTAATTAGATTATAAAAGAATTACCAGTAGAAATTGTACCGCGTATTGAAAATCAAATGCTGGATGATCCAACATTTTGCGAAATATGTCATCAAAGTGACAGGGAAGATCGAATGTTACTTTGCGATGATTGTGATCGCGGCTATCATATGGAATGTTTAACGCCTCCAATGACTACAGTCCCTATTGAAGAATGGTATTGTCCGGGATGTAGTGATAACGCCAGAACGGTAATAACTTTTGCTTGTTTCTAGAAAATAAAGACTATCTTCATATTATACCATCATTTTAATTAATAAACAACACAAATTTGTATGAATATGTATTTGTAATGTTTCTATGAAATATTTGAAATTTTCTTAGTTATGAATGTGTAAAACTGACTTTAAAAAAATTGCAATTTGAAAATATAATGACAAATCTAAGATTATTAAATTTAGATATCAAAAAAAATTTAATTTATATGTAAAATTTTTATATGAATGTATACAGTTTTTATGACACACACACACACACACACACACATTTTGTGATATATATTTAAAAATTATCTTATCCAAATAAAAATATTATTTCTACCTTTATTTATCTTTCCAGTTTGTGTCAAATTTTATACCAACTCTTATAACACCGAGAAATTCTGGTCGGTTTCTCCGTGAAATAAGGAGAAACTTAAGCATATTTCGTAATATACTTCCTCAAGCCAATGATCGTGCATATGTACCTGTCAGTCGCGCTCAAACTGCACATCATCGCGATCCAGCGGATGTTGCCGTGCCACTTATCGATCCGAATCAGCCGTCTACTTCGTCCGGCCTTGATTCAATTGGTGATAATAGCCGAAGTCGTTCACCGAATACTAGCTTAGAAGGTACTGCCTCTTCCACGCGCTCGAATACAAAGTCTAAGACTAAAACGATGAAAAGAAAAAAGAAAAAGCTCACGAAGAGCTCTAAAAAAATCAGTGACCTAGTTCGAGAAGTAAGAATCAAAGAGTACAACAATGATGGCGAAGAGGAGGAAATAGTGACGTATGTCAAAGTCGCATCATCTACATCAAGGAGGAAGTGTAAGAAAAGAACAAAGAAAACGCGCAAGGTATAACACTAATTTCTCCTCAAATGTAGCATAATAGCTTAACACGTAACATTGCCAGATGCTCGTCGCATTGCCAGATGCGTATACAGAATCGTATTTAAATATTTGACGCCATGCCTCTTGACATTTGACACGACCCTTGTTTTATGATGACAAATATATTGTGTTCGAGCGACGCTCTTTCGATCGATAACTGAAATTTATTATATTCTCACATTTTTATGCTAAGTTTTTATTAAGATATATATATATATATACATATATACATAATTTATAATTAATAATTTAATTTAATTGTACGGTCTGGTAATGCCGCCGTGTCTCATTAAATGTTTATCATCTTGGATTTCTGATCCTGACTATCCGAACGCTATGTACTCCCCAATCACACTTATATCATCTTCGTAACACAAGCCAATTGAATTAGATTTTTCGATTGTAACTCATTGTTCTTGATTTATATAAATAAAACGATTTTCTCACACTAGATGCACTTGGTTTTTTTTCTTAATTTTGCTTAACTTTATCATATTAATATGTTAAATTTTAAAAACTTCAAGAATGTCAACTGTATTTTAAGATTAAAATCATGAGCGATTAAGTTCCATTGCTGTATGACTTAGGATATATATTTATTATAAATAAGTTAATAAAATATGAATACATATATTTATAAGTATACATTAAATAATTAAATTATCTACAAGAAATATTATCCTAAGAGCATTGTCATAAAGAAAATTTCAATTATTTAGAGATCCAAAATAATATAAACAAAATCTTAAAGAACAATGAATTTACAAATTGATTTATTAATATACTTATTTTTGTCAATAAGATTTTAAAAAACTTTAATTATCTTGCTCTTAAAATAATTACGGCTTATATACTAATTAAACTTTTATTCTTTCTGAAAAAGTTATACTTTTTAATAAAATCTATTAATTACTTGTTTTACTAACTTCTTATTTTTCTTTATTCTTATTTTTAATTTTAATAACTCTTCAATAAATTTAAGAGGTTTTTAAAAAAAATGCTTTTATAGTTTTTTTCTGGTTTGCTTATATTTCCTATATATTATATATATATATATATATATATATATATATATATATATATATATTA